GCCTCGACCTCCTGGGCTCCGGCGATCCTTCCACCTCAGCCTTCCAAGTAGCCAGAATTATAGGCATGAGCTACCATGCCCGGCTGATTTTTTGATTTATTGTAGAGATGAGGTCTCACTGCCCAGGCGGGTCTCGAACCCGTGGGCTCAGGCAATCCACTCACCTCAGCCTCCCAAAGACACGGGATTACAGGCTGAGCCACCGAGCCCGGCTCAGCTACTTATTTTTATGTAGAACTTTAAAAATGTTGTATTTCTTTTCTTGGCTAGCTCCCATTAGCATTCGCTTATAGTTATTCCAGAGTTTTATGCAAATAGTAACATCATTTGTTTCCTTGCACATGAGTTTTTGCACTTATGTAATCCTTCATGAATATATGTGTGTGTGTGCGTGTGTGTGTGTGTGTGTGTGTGTGTGTTGCAATTTTTAAAAGACAATGAAAACGACTGCATAATTCAGAAGCAACAGTAGGAAGGTCCTGAATTATTTATATTGGGTAACTGCTAATTCAGCCTCACGGTTTGCTCTTTCTTTTTTAAATGCCACATTATCTGACTTCACCTTTGAGTACTGTTTTTGCATTTCATATTTGTACATGGGGGTCGAGATGAACACTAAATAAAATAAATAAGTGAGGTTTATTTGATGCTCAATTCCAAAGATTTATATTCAAAGCCATTATCTTCTTAAATAATAGATATATGAACGTTAAGGCTGCTATGAAGTCTACATCAGTGCAGTAATATTTCAGCTATTTAGGCAAATTTCTTTCATCTATAATGCATACCGGGAATTTAGTTTTATAACTAGTGTAAAACACAGGATATAATAAAATTTGTTGGGGGAGGAGGTTTAAGCATATCAGAAATAAAATTTTGGTTTTTGTAACAACTTGAAATATAGCAAATAAGCTTTGCTTCAAAGCTAAGGCTCATATCTTTAAAAATATTAATCTCTTTATATATATTTACATAATTTATGTAACCATAGTTGTGCCTGATTTCTGAATCTTAGTTCCTCCTCTGTTAATACGTTTGCAAATTCTATCATTATGCTATCACTATTGCCTGAGTAATTGAGGATTATATTTTAGTATGTAGACCAAGAATTTTCGTTATCATGATGTTTTAATGTTTTCCTTCCTTTTTTTAAAATTATTTTTATTGTTTTGAATGCACTTCAAAAAATACTACAAAGAAAATTAGGTAGATTGGATATCGTATCCTCTTGTTTTAGCCAACATATTTTCCTTTTCACATGTTATGTTTGCTGTGTATAAAATTAAAAAGCTGGCCGAGTATGGTGGTTCGTGCCTGTAAACCCAGCACTTTGGGAGGCCGAGGTGGGAGGATTGCCTGAGTCCAGGAGTTCAAGACCAGCCTGGGCAACATGGTGAGGACTCATCTCTACAATAAAAAAAAAAATTAGCCGGACATGGTGGCACGCACCTGTAGTCCCAGCCACTTGGAAGGCTGAGCTGAGAGGATCACCTGAGCCCAGCTAGCCAAGAAAAGAAATACAGCATTTTAAAAGTTTTTCTAAAAATAAGTAGCCAGTGAGTTATTATGTAGCAATTAAAATTATGATGAAGACTTTATTACAAGGAAGATGTTTTTATATTTAATGAAAAAGACAAACATGATTTCAACAACAAAATCATATATGAACAGAGACTAAGAGAACCAGAAAATGAAATATTAAGATGACAGAATCATGAGATATATGCTTTAAAATTATTCAATGTAATTAAAGCACTGGTGGCTGTGATTGTGCCACTGCATTCCAACCTGGGTGACAGAGTGAGACTCCAGCTCAAAAATAGACTACTACTGCCGCTAATTAATTAACTAATTAATTTTTAAAAAGCTATTTTTGTCCCCTAGCTCTTTCTTTCTGGTCATCTTGGCTAATCTGTAGATTTCAGGTTGGCTTCGAGTATCCTGGCAGACCCACCCTGCAGGTCTTGAGTCCCATTTGATGCCCGGGGAGTGGAGAAGTTTATATGCATTCAACCAAAATCCTTTGCTTGCAATGACTCCCAGAGAGGAAGAGCAAAAGGCATGGTATGAAGAGTGCCGTGTCAGGTTCCTAGAAATAGCTGCATTTTCAACCAAGCCTTCCCCCCACCCCAGTGGTCTATTCTTATTTCTCTCCTTTGGTCATTGTCTTCTCAGGACCTCCCCAGACTTCTCCTCCTTCACCAACTGGCCAAGCAGGAAGGTGCATGGACAATACTTCCATTGTTACCACAGTACGTTTAACTCAAAATGTGTCAATTACTAACTTTCTCACCTGAACACTCTTAGCCTCAAGTTTTTATATTGAGAGGGTTTGTCCTCCGTCAGTAAGTACATCTGAGTTTTACTTTTTATGATGACTACACTAGCCAGATTTCTTGATGATTGGATTAAAAAGCTCATGAGTAGATTTTATTTTTAAATATGCTTCTTAAAAGATAATAATACTTCAAGTTAATAGTTAAAAGTTATTGGTCTTCTGAACTGGTATTGTTTTGGAGAGAGTTAGCTGTAAGAACTCTAGGTGTTTTATACACCATTAATATCTGGCTTTCCGGTAATCTGAAACTCTATATGTTAAAGAAAAATATAGAGGGAAAAAACTAGCTATCTAGTCATTCTGTATGTGCTTCATCCATTTCTTACTTATCAGTTTTAAACCTGATTATAAACTCATTTTATAGACGTGGTTACTGCAACCTGTTTCTTTTTGTCAGCTTTTCTATAACATATAGCAGAAATTCATCATGGATTTTCTTCTGTGAAGAAGAGACAAGAATAGAGATTCCAAAGCTCTTAGAAACACTCCGAAGATATGACCCCTCGAAGGTGAATATAACTTCAATACCAGTTCTTATCTTTGGGACCAGTACTTCAGAGAGGATTTAGTTTTGATTAAGAGGTTTTCGAATCTAATAAAAACCACTTAATTTAAAATCAAAAAGAATGAAACATTGTTGAATATCTGGAAGCTGTATTAAATAATTCTCTTTGAGGTTTGCAGCTAATAAAGAGTTGGAACTGATAATGAGCCATTTTAAGTAGAAAAAAATCGGTTAATATATGTGTGAGCAAGTTCAGAGAGTTGAGAACTGTAAGTTCAAGTCCAGAAAGAGCTTACCCCAGAAATAAACTTAAATTGTTTATTTTTCTCTATGAGACAGTGACCACATTTATTTTAGATAGAAATATTTTTTGATCTGACTGGGCATGGTGGCTCATACTTGTAAGGATTGCTTGAGGCCAGGAATTCGAGACCAACTTGGCAACATAGCGAGACTCCATCTCTACCCAAAAAAAGAGCACTATGGATGGCAGAAGCTAGAACAAAAATGACAAGGACCTGACCACATAACTGGTACAGAGCAGCAGGGAGGACAGATCATTAGAGAAGCAGTTAGAGTTAGAAGCAAGACTTCTGTGATAAAGAAGACTAGCAGCCAGGCACAGTGGCTCATGCCTATAACTCCAGCACTTTGGGAGGCCGAGGTAGGAGAATTGCTTGAACCCAGGGATTTGAGACCAGCCTGGACAACATAGTGAGACCTCGTCACTACCAAAAAATTAGAAAAAAATAATAAGGCATGATGTATGCCTGGTTAGTCCCAGCTACTCAGGAGGCTGAGGCAGAAGGATCACCTGTGCCCAGGAGGTCGAGACTGCAGTGTGTCCATGATCGTGCCATTGTCCTCCAGCCTGGATGACAGAGTGAGACCTTAACACCCCCCCCAAAAAAAAGAAAAACAGAGTGCTTTTAGAAACATAAATCTGGGGCATTAAACCTAATCTTGGGGGATCAGGACAGGAAGGGACATTTAATCTGAGTCCTGTAGGCTGAATAGGAGTTAGCAGGAGAGAAAGAGGGTATACCAGGCAGAGTGACGGGGATGAGAAAGTATATATCCTGCGTTAGAGAGGCTCAGTGAAGTTCACTACTGCTTTCATATTTTCATATCTTATTTTATTTTGTACAGATCTGATACAGCAACTGGATCTTGTTTACCTTGAAATCCTTAGCCCTGAGCAGTGTTGAACACTTAGTAGGTGGTCAGTGAATATTTCGGAATAACCCTGTAATACCAGTTTTCCTGCTGGGCTACATTCAAAGTCTCATTTGGAACTGGGCTTGATTGCTCAGCCTGTCATCCCAGCACTTTGGGAGGCCAAGGCAAGTGGATTGCCGGAGTCCGCAGGTTTGAGACCAACCAGGGCAACTTGGCGAGACCTCATCTCTACAATAAATCAAAAATTAGCAGGGCATGGTAGTGCACGCGCCTGTATTTCTGGCTACTTGGAAGGCTGAGGCAGAATGATCGCTGGAGCCCAGCAGGTTGACGCTGGGATGACCGTGAACGTGCCACTGTACTCCAGCTTGGGTGACGGAGTAAGACTCCAACTCGGGAAAAAAAAAAAAAATAGAAAAAGAAAAAACAGAGGCTCGTTTGGTTTAGAGAAATGCTTTGGAAATGTGTCAAGAGTAAATCAGACTCATCCAGCTCTCTGAAGGAAGCCCAATCTGATCGCTTTATGGAATTCTTTAAATTTAGGATAAGTGGAGTTGAGCCCTTTCTGGTACCATAGGAAACCCGTCCCACCGACATTCTGACACCCACTTTCTTTTTTTTTTTT